CCTTTGCCTCCTAGGTCTGTATCATTCCATCATGGCTTACTCAAATCGTTCAAATAGTTTTGTGACATTAAAGAAGATTGCTTAACGTTTTTTGTATTTTACGGAATGAGTTAGCTAACACCAAATCTTCATTTATAATAGCGCCTAACTTCCTATTTATAACAAACAAGCTGGTGACCCTTTCGCATTGCTTCTTTGTTCTGCTCAGTGAGTGCCCTATAATCATCGGGTCGCCAACAGTTCTTGAAATGGATCCATTGTGTGCAGATCTTCCACTAAAAGGTTTCACCTGGACGCGCTGGGGCCACTTTCCCGAGGCTGTTAATACGTCTCTGTTGAACGAACTTTGCACTCGGCTTTGTCGCACTGGTGCTGCTACCACTACTACTCTCTCGCCGAGGATGACGGTGACGAGGATGGGGATGAGAGAGGACGAATCGATATTTCGCCTCGTTGACGACACTGATGTGACGTTGGGAGATGGTGAGGACTTTTGCCCTTCACCACACTACGTCTCTCCTCCTCTCCCTTTTATTCACGGCAACGGGGTGCCCGAGGCTCTGGGTGTGGCACAGCTCAATTCTCTCCTCAAACGCACCGTGCAAGAGACTACAGACTGTCTCATTGCTGGTCAGTTCTGCATGACCATAAAGTGCCCTACATCCTTAGGAGTCATTTTGTGCTATAAAGTGAGTGCTTTCAAAGTGACTCTTATTGATTCCTTTGCTGCTGTTGCTACAGCGACGAAACGACGCAATGCAGGCGGCGCGGCTTGGGCGGAGCAGTTGTTGTCAGAGGTCTACTCTCTTTGGTTTCTTCTCTTGCCTGCATTTATCGCCTCTCTGCAACAACACTCTGGTGGTTTGAACGTTGGTGATGGTATCGGTCTGGAGACTCGTCGTTTCCTCTACCGCGTTGTAGGCGTTTTTCTGCGCCTTTGGGAGTCACCGGTTCAACCTGTTGATCAGGTAAGATACACGTCTCTGTGGTTGACTTGTGCACTCTACGTCCTATTACGGTAATTGGAAATGCTGAAAGGTGAAAACCAAAGGCACTAGGTACAGTGTCACCACTTTGGTCGGTTTACCAACTTTGCTTGGGAAGTGCACTGCCATAACCACGTCGGTAAAATTTACGTTGTTGGGACTTTGAACAATGGAAATAGTTGATACTTTGGCTGTTATGAAATGTCTGTACCCAGTGGTGGTCATTGAAAGGGATTGTCTCCGTCTAGGTGTATGTTCGCGTTCTTATCGCGTTGCTCTATGAATACGGCACCTCAGATGAGGGCGTGATTAGCTTCTGGAGCAGTCGGCCTCTGAACGCGCCTTCCTACGCCATGGCTAATCAGGTAGACCCATCTTGATTTGGATCTCTGGCACCTTACTCACAAAGTAACTCCTATTCTTCATCTTTCAGTTGCAACGTGATCTCGGCCACAAATTGACTTCAGCTAGGACTATGGAAGATGGCAGTGAGTCCAGCACAGGTAATGTTAACTATTCCAATAGCAGGAGGTGTGGTTCCTTTCTGTAAT